TGGGGGAAACTTATCTTCCTGATGACCTATTGGTTACTAGTCAGAGTTTGGGGCACCCCCCTCTGATCTTCTGAATTTTATTGTTTCCTAGAATGCAGATTGAGGTCACTTCTTCCCATATCTTTATGGTCTGACACTTAAGGAGACAGGATGTCTGCCTAAAGCCTTTCAACATAACAGAGACAAGGGAAATGTGTGAAGGTTCCTGAATATCAGTTTCCTTGTTATCCCTTTGGCTTTCAAATGTAAGAAAATAAAGATGAGGGAAACAGAGCCCTTTTTCATAAGGTTTCAAGTGGAGTTAAGTAGAGGACTGAGCACTTGTGCTTGTTTCCCAAGCAACAGCTTTCATCCAATAGCATTGGGAGTAAGGGGAAGCAATCAAGTTCTCAAGGTTCACTTCCAGGCTTGGAAGTAAATCATAGGTTTCTGGACCTTTAACCTTTATTTAACTCTTGGCTAGATGTGATAGAAGACTCTCAGACATGATTCATTAGATCAGATTTTTAAGTGCAAATAAGAATGACAATGCAAATACAGCCCATTGCAATATAAACTTCTACAAAATAGAAGTTATAGACTTCTATAACTGTGAATCAGCATTTCAAGTCTAGCCTTCTTCCTCCTGCTTTTCCAAATTAATGGATATTATTTGGGTCACTTGGTGGCCTAGGGAAGCAATTGAGATATGTTTATGAACCCCTCTCTCTTCATTGGGAAGCATGAATAATGTTGCTGGGTAGAGCGGAATGCAGGGTGAAGGAAACAAATTGGAGAGCTGGATTGCTTAGGGTGACATAGATGAAAGATTAATTGAGGAACAGGAACTCAGAACAGAGTTAGAGAAAGAGAACATTAGAGAAGTAAGTGAAGGGAGGGGCAAGAGCAAATTAAAAGACTCTAAAAAAGAGAGAACCAGAAAGACTAATGGGAAAAATGGTAGAGGCAAAGCATGGAAAAGGGAAGTACCTGATCTTGTGAAGGAAAAAGGGAAGAAAAAAAAATAGGTCCAGAAGACAGCTAAAAGAAATACCAGCTGGGTTAGTGAGGAAAACCCAATACCAAAGGAGCAGTGAGACAGACTCTCCTGCAAACTGGAGAGTAGGTGAAGCACTGAATTGGGATCAAATGGAAACTGACCCTAAACAATCTCCTTTTCTAAAAGACATTTTTTGGGGCATGCACTGTTTTCATAGATAGATAGATAGATAGATAGATAGATAGATAGATAGATAGATAGATAGATAGATAGATAGATATGGGGAGAAAGCCCCACCTTGCTCAGTGCTTCATTTACTCTCCTAAGATACTATGTTGTGGATGAAGCATAGCATCTTAGAAGAGAAACTCAGAGGTGGGGTAGATGGTTGACAAAAATCAGGGCCCAAGAGAAAAATGTTGAGCTTTGAGGTAAACAACATTTATTGGGTTCTGGTGAATATTTGTCTTACTGGCAGTTTGTCCTGGATAGATTAATATAGAAGGGGAAAAATTAAGCATGCTTTTTTCTTTTCTGTTCAGCTGCAGTTTAAAGCATTTGGCTTAATGTTTCTGTAACACAGAATGTTGCTTTAATTGTACCTATAAAAATAGGCTTTAGATTCATTGTCAGAATTCAGGACTTCATGTGGGGCAGTGGCTCATTTTGATCTAGGGCAGCTTAGGCTTTCTATTCAAAATCCACTCAGTTTTTCCTCTTACATATAAATGTAATACATAAATAAATATCTTATTTATAAAGCCATATTTTTCATCTAATGGCTGGATTTGTTTAGTATTTTTTATTAGCATATTGTGTGAATCCAGCCATTGTGATAGGGTTATTGCTTAGTGGTGATATCTGTTTCCCAGACTTTATTTAGCTAAATGGGTGAACCCAGCTAGTGAGATTTAATTCTGAACATACATGTATCTACTGCCAAAAGATCTGATCAAGTCACTATCTCTGGCGCAGCAAGTCAAGCAGGGCTGTTAAAAACTTAATAAAACCTGAATTCCTCTGAAATGAGCATATGCTAGCATAAGTCCCTGCAAGTATAAAGCAATGGCCAAGTGCCAGACAATTGGTTCTTTGAGGATCCAGAGACAATAAACGCACCAGTAAGTAAGGAGTTTTCAAGCATTTTTGTTAACTCTAGCAGACAGATTTAAACAGAAACACAAAAGCATAACATACCAAGCAAGATGACAACAAATCTCTGTTCAGCTGTTGGGACCCCCAGTGGAATAACAGCGGAGACCCCAAAACAGCCAAGCCACACAGCACCCAGCGCTAGGTCTGTGCCAAAGCTCCCAGCTCAGAGGGTCTTATCAAACCTAGTACTACAACCTCATGATCTTGTTTCCATGGTATTGAGATTACAGGACCTGACCTTGGCTAGATGGTACACCTGTTCATCATGTAAATTGACAGAACCCTGGAAAGTAAACCAAGAGCCTGGGAATTGTACAGATAAGCCAGTGCCAATTTAAATAATCTGGAGGTCCTCCTACAACTGTGTGAAGATTCCTCCCTTCCCTTTATTTACCAAGCAAGTATGAAAAACAAGTTAAACATTATTATGACTCAGAATTAACTTCTAGAATCTTCTTAATATGAAGGAGAAATCAAAAGATGTCACTACACTCCTCAAAATGCAATGGTATTCCACAATGTCACTCTACTCCACCCCTGACATATTTTAATTTCCCTTCATATTTTTGTTTTTCATGAATTCCAAGTCTCCAAGTAATAAGTACATTTGTATACAATCATTTAACTTTAATACACAGAATGCACATTAGTGTAAGTAAAATAAAAATAGTAGGAAAATAACTACTGGGTGCCATGCATAATTTGAAATATTGGTCATAGTTGGGCTCCACCCTGAGAAAACATCCCATCAGTCATAAGTGGTCAAATCCTCAATATCCTGAGTAACTCTGACTAATTCAGCATGCTCATGTTTTTCAATTTAGTTCTTTTTATTTCAGTTTCCAGTTCAGTTCTTTTATTGCTTACACCATATAGACAGAATCTTGCCAGACTAAATCTGTATTACTCTAACCTAGTGGATATACCCTGGGAGATTCTAGGGAGTGGCTGTCCTAATTCTCTTTCTCTTCCCATGATTCAGCTCCAGATTGTGTTGTCTCGTGTCTCACCCCACTTCCAAATCCTCAATATCCTGAGTAACTCTGACTAATTCAGCATGCGCATGTTTTTCAATTTAGTTCTTTTTATTTCAGTTTCCAGTTCAGTTCTTTTATTGCTTACACCATATAGACAGAATCTTGCCAGACTAAATCTGTATTACTCTAACCTAGTGGATATACCCTGGGAGATTCTAGGGAGTGGCTGTCCTAATTCTCTTTCTCTTCCCATGATTCAGCTCCAGATTGTGTTGTCTCGTGTCTCACCCCACTTCCTGGAGTGTGCTCCCTCCTTCCTGAGAACCTGCTGCATTACTGTAGTCCATCACATCACCTCCCCCTTCATAGACATGTTCCATCACAGTTGGTCTCCACTGGAGCCTTACCTCTCCTCTAATCCAGAGGCTGGGGCACCTCCCATCCCCTGATTCCTTTGCTAGGTAAGGAGGGATATAATTGTTCATCAGGTGGGGCTGTCAAGGTAGCTCCCCTCACCTGTAAATTTCCTTTCTTATTAGTGGCACATTTCTGTTTCCACATTTTACTAACGAACTGCTTTTTCCCAATTTTTTATCCCTCCTTGGTTCCCCAAGTATGGGGCTTGAGGGCATTTTCTCTCTGTACATCTCCCAGTTATACTATCAGCCCTACAACGTCTCCTATGGTTGGCTCCCTGTGCTGGGCCCAGCAATGCCAGCAAAGGACCACACATGTAGGCTGGAGCCCCTTTCATTAAATGTGCCCTCAACCCAGCTGTAAGAAGTTGAGTATCAGGTCCTACAAACCCCTGCTGGTAAATCCCTGCCTGCATAGCCATTCTTCTCAATTGATCTACTGCCTCTTCAATGGTATGCCATGAAGGCATCTGTTCTTCCCAATCCATAGCAGCAGAGTATCTGGCTTGTATAGCCAGCACACTCCAATCAAATAAAGATTGCAGCAGCGTTAGGCAATCTCAGATATTGATTAATCAAGGTGTCTTTAGATAATGCCCCCAATTTAACTAATTCCTCTTCAGTTAAATAAAGGCTGCTAGCTCCTTGGTCCCACAGTCTTACTAACCACTGGTTCAGCCTCTCCCCAGCTTCTGCCTATTAGTCTTGGACATGTCAGCCAGCTCCTGCTGAGTGTAATCCCTGACAATATGGGTTGCCCGAGCAGCGTGTGGGTTGCCAGGCAGGCCCTTGGTTTTGCTGGTGACCAAAGGTCATGCCTTAGCCATCCGAGTACTCTTATCTCCTTCATCCACTTCTGTCCAGCCTAAATCTTCATCATCAGAATCTCCACATCTCCATTCCAGGTTTCTGGATTCCACTCCCAGGATGAAATGAGAACTCTAACTTTGCGAGGCTTGTGCATGCGCCCTCTTTTTGCCTGCTTATGATGTTTTAATTTTGCAAACTGAATAGCCATGCTTGTAGTTCACTCTTCTGCTAAATCTCCTCTCCCCTGGGCACCTTCCTGCTGATCTTTAAAAGCAGTCATCTCTTCAGCTTGCTGTTGCACCTTCCTCTGGGTGGTTTCTAACTGTTCCCACACATTACGGAGCGTGGTAAGAAGGACTCATCCGAGCGCCCCCACTGCTTTCATCCCCCCTTTCTCTCCCACTCCCATTTAAGCACTGCATTGGGAGTTGAGCGTCCAAATTCTGCCACCTCCGAATCCCATGACACTGGTGAGGTCCACTGGTTCAACATTTGAACCACTGGCCGCCAAGCACTCATCTAACACACTTTTTTCCCTCAAAATATGTGTATGAAGTTTGTCTTCTCTTCACTTTTATTGCATCGTTGTAGGCCTTTTTTATTATGCGGATGCATGTGTTGTTCTGACCTATTTTCTCTTTGCTCCTTTTAATTATGCAGTTCTTTTCTCATTTTTCTCTCTATTTGCTTAAAAGCACATGCAAAACAAAAAATACAGCTTTCATGAAAAGGACAGGTATTATTTGATTTTTTTCCACTATGGAAAGAAACCATCAGAAATTAAAGCACGTTATAGACATTCTGAACTGTTGATGCTCCTACATGTGTAATGTTTTAATCTGTTCAGTTGCTTTACAGGCAAAATAACAGAAATTGTGTTCCATGGAGGTTGATTCAATGGGCTTTTGAAACTTACTTCAAGATACTTACAATATAACAGTGAATTATTTAAAATCCTTCTTACATTGAACTCTAAATCTATCCATTTAAGAGTGCAGTGCATAATGATTTTACAATTATCGGATACTGTATTTATTCTGTATTATTCAGTTTAACAACTAGATAAAAACAGTAATTAAAAAAGTATGAATAGATATCTATATTCTAAAAATCTGTCTTGGAAGGAAACTCAAAGACCCTGCTCTATTTAAAATAAATATTGCTATGTTACATCTTCGGTAGAGAAGAACAACCAAAATAGCTTTGGAGAAGTGCTATGGATTTGTTTTGTGCTCCGTGCATCAACAAATTCTTTAACTAAGATCTAATTACCAAATATTCATTATTGATGATATTCAATGAGCTGTAAAGAACACACTTTAAAAAATCCTTGCCAGGGAGTTAGAACTTTCAGCAGCTATTTAAAACTGATAGGAAGTATCAAAGTTGTCTGATACTGAAATGTTTCACTTGTTTTATCCATCCATCTTGCATTTACGAATTGTATTCTTGGATCATTAGGAGATTCTAAGTAGACAGAAGTAAGTTGAATAAGATGACTTACAGCCAGAGCTGCACTTTTTTTCACTTGCTTTTTGGGAGACTCTGTGGACCAAAGCAGGAATGGTCACTGATGTCATGATATTGCTGGAATGGGCAGCACTTTAAAGGAAGGCTTAAGACATGCAACAGAGTTTAAGATGCCCATTTTTACCCTTAAAGCTTTCTAAAATTGGAAGAGATTGGCAAAAGTTTTGCCCCACAAAATGGGCAATCAAAGGTTTTTGATACAAATACTGTAGCTTGGCTAAATAAGAATTTGAACTATCCTGCAGAATGCAGCATCACAGTGGCTTTTAGAAGGCAGAATGAAGGGAAATGTAAGCTGAAAATACTATATGGCAAGTATTAGAATCAAACATATGAAATATTATGAATCCACCCCAGTAAGTTGAAGCATGCATTGTTCTCAATAGTGAGGCATTATAATGTGCCAGATGTGCATGTACCACCTTTACCTGTTTAGATTTAGCGCACTATAAATGGTGTTACCACGTAGGTTAGGTTCCAGCATGATACACGATGGTCAGGTATACATTTCTGTTGACATTCAGTGACCATGTCTTGCCAGCTTCAGTCTAGAAAAAGCATGTACAATATGTAACATTCTAAGCTGAAACCTTGGATGTTGTGTTGTTAGGTTACTCACTTGTTGGGTTAGGTTGTTAGGTTACTCAGGTTTGCAGTCCTGATGGGCTGCTACTGTATATACACAAATGGGGCATGTGTGTTTTGAAGGATTTTAAGTTGTGCTGACCCACTTAATCAGGAAGCAAAGTAGCAAAGATCAGAGAAATTTGACCTCTGGAAAGGCTTGAGCCCTGACAACTCTTGTGTTAGAAATAAATTCCCAGTGTAACTGAATCAAAATCATGAATAGGAATAGCTGTGCTGGATCAGGAAAAAAGTTCAAGGAGATTCCTAGAGACAGCACCCAAGTGAGATATAAGATTTTTGCTGATCTGGACTGTAAAAATCTGGAGTTAGTGTCTGTAGCATCTGAATCATTTTACTGCCATTTAGTGGTTTTCTGGATTTCTGCTGCTCAGGTATGGTGGCCCTAGCTTATTGGTCCTGTCTTGTTGAATTTTTTTAAAAATGCATTGTATTCACATTGTATGTTGTGTAGTGTGTATATGTGGAGTGTGTGTGCGCGCTCACACATGTGTGTGAGATAGAAAAAGAGAGAGAAAGGGAAAGAGAGATTTAGCCTTATGTTCCTTAGAGAACATTGGAAGCATTATTTTTCTTCTTCTTGCTTGAATTTTAGACTGGTAATCTTCCATTGAGTATCAGTGATCATAATTGTTTCTAAAGATTCAGCTGAATTGTAGACTGTACTGTCTCAGTAAATCATACTCTTTCTTGCAACATGTGATGATAAGCATGATCATACAAACATATTAAAAGGAAAGTATTTTTTTAATTAAATAATACATCTTAGTAGTAAGATATATTATTTAATATTTTTGAAATAGTTATATTAAACAATATAATAGAATTCTATTAGAGTTAGGAATTGGGTTTAGTTTAAAATTAGGATTGACTTTTCTGCTGTCCTGAAGCCATTCTTCCTTTATACAGACTTAAGAATACCTCAGACACACACATGCTAAAAATCCATGGTACTTTTGTAAATGTGCTTTTATATGCAGATGATATGGTTTTAATGGCACACTCTCAAATAGGTCTGAGACAACTCTTGAAAAAGCTAAATAATTACTGTGTTTCTAACTAACTATAAATAAATTCAAATCAAAAGTGATGGTTTTTAGTAAAAAGAGAGTGAAATACAATTGGCAGATAAAGGGGGAGCCAATAGAACAGGTGAATTCTTTTACCTATCTGGGAGTAGTTTTTACTGATACTAGAGCCTGGGAACACCACTTCCAAAGGACACCAGGGAGGGTTGAGGTCCGTGCCAAAAGTTTATTAAAACTGTATAATTATAAATATCCTGGCACGCTGACCCCTATACTGAAAGTTTTCAGAGCAAAAATAGTCCCAATGCTGACTTATGGAGTGGAAGTGTGGGGCCTTGCAAAACCGGCCGCTCTTGCTCACGTCCAGACACGTTTTTTAAGGAACATTTTGGGAGTAGATAAGAATACATCAGCCCCTGCGATCAGAGCGGAAACTGGTACCCATTCTATACAGAGCCAGTCAGTAATAAAGGTCTTTTCTTATTGGCAGAGAGTCCAGTTAATGGATTATGACAGGCTTCCCAAATCTGATGGAACAAGCAAGTATGGACCTCTCCATATCTTGGTTAAAACACTTTACTAAAGTTATTTCACAATACAGGCTTTCTACA